TGCCTTGCAGTTCCTGCTCTGGCTCTTCGGGAATCATCCTACTATCATGAGAAGCCCATGCTGTAGTCCACTGTAGGATGAGACCACTGCGAGGGGAAAGCCAACTGCAAGACGTGGTGCAGCCACCTTCAACAACCTTGCTTGGGGCGAGCCAGTACATGGCCACAGTGCACGGCCCATCCCACCCAGCTGGGTCAGCCTGATAAGACTCATGAACAAATACATGGGTGTTATTTCAAGCCCCTGAGTTTTGGGATGTTTGTTACACAGCAATAGACAACTGACGTGCCCTTCAAGGTCCAACATGAGACTGGTTAAAAATGCTTACAGACCATCTCTGCAAGGAAAAGCTTTCAGTCTTGGGAGCTCAGATTCTAGACCTACAAATGCCAATAGTATGGAGAGTCACATCCCATGATGCAGGTACTACGACTAATCTTACTTTATAAGTAAGTGAGGACCCAAGAGGTTAAGTAATTTGTCTAAAGGTCACACGGCTAGTACCATATTTTGCTGTGTATAATGCACACATAATGTTTTTGGGCCAAACTCTCATTTTAATTTTTTAATTCAATTTTTTATTTTTTTATATTTAAGTACTTGTTTTATGTGTAAGAAAGGAATTTTAGCATTTATTTTTAACATGATAAAAGAAATTTTATGTAACAAGTACATAAAGATATAAGGTATAAGAAATTTTATGTGCCAATAACAATTTACAATATTTATGCAGCATAGAAGGTCAAGAGCTCTTCCTCACTGTCAGTATCAGAAATATTGTCTTCTGGCTTGGCACCTGTAGCTCAAGTGGCTAAGGCGCCAGCCACATACACCTAAGGTGGCGGGTTCGAATCTAGCCTGGGCCCGCCAAAGAACAATGATGGCTGCAACCCCAAAAAATAACCAGGTGTTGTTGTGGCAGGCGCCTGTGGTCCCAGCTACTTGGGAGGTGGAGGCAGGAGACTCACTTGAGCCCAGGAGTTGGAGGTTGCTGTGACCTGTGATGCCACAGCACTCTATCCAGGGGGACAGCTTGAGGCTCTGTCTCAAAAAAAAAAAAAAAAGAAAAGAAAAAGAAAAGAAATATCATCTTCTTCAATTTCTCCATTATTGGCATCTTCTGAAGAGTCCCTTTTCTCATCCCAGTATATTTCACCACCCTCAGTTCTACCCATGGCCTTGTTGAAGTCACCTTTTTTAAATGATTTCATAACCACTTCCTCTTGACACCATTCCACAATCTTAGGATCCAATCACAAACTTAGGCAATGGATGCTTTCCTGATTCTGCCTGTATGTGTTAAATCATTGCCAGTTGACTGCATCTGTGACGTCCACTTTCTTCACTGGGGCCTAAGGGCTTGTTTACTGACACATCTAGAAGTTGCAGGTGGCTGGTTAGCCACCAGGTATTACAGCAAGTTGAGCTTTCAAGTTCTCTGCAATTGATTTGGCACTTTGTGTAACATGGGCTTTGAAGTGATCAAAAACAAAGCTGTTAGTTTCCATAAGTAATCCTCCAGGCCCTCGTGACCAGCTTGGTCAAACTGGATTTCCATGCCTTCTTCATCCATCCATCCTTTTTCATACACGCAAACAGTAACTCCACTTGGAATCTTCTTTTGGAAACATTTTTCCTTCCATAGATGATCACAGATGGCAGCTTTATCCCATCTGCACAACAGGCTAGAACAATAGTGAAATGTGTTTTCTCATGTCCACTAGCTTTAATTTAACAGCCACAGTCTTTGATCCTTTGATGTCCACAGTTTTGTTGGATGGCACATCAGATGTGAGTGGGACCTCATCCACACTGGCACAGCTCAAAGCTGAAAGCCTTTTGAAGACTGATAATACAAGAATGGAATTCCAAAGCTTGATTCTCATAGCCTGCTCAAAGTTTGGAGGCAAGTTATGTTCTTGTCCTTGTGCTCAAACCTTCTCCCTCCTAAAATTTCTCATGATGAGAAATCATCAATGTTTTTTTCTTATGCCGTCCTTTTACCCTCTTCTTGAATTATCTTATTTGAAACAGAGACCCCAGTTTGATGCTGCTGTTCCTGAGCCTGGTCTCACCTGCTGCTGCACCACCAGCCGCTTTGGAGGTTCCCTCTGCATTGCCTTCTTTTGAATGGCACCTGAAGAAGCCTTTCTTTCTGCTGCCTCTGCAATCTAAAGACACTGTCTGTGGGAGGAAGTCCCAACTGTCTCTCGGCAGATCTGCTGCCATGCTCTTTAGCATATTTAAATAACTGTTAGCTTAAAATTTACAGTGTACGAAACCATTTCGATATTTTTCAATGGATTTTTCCAATAATTTTTGTAAAAATATCAGCTAGATTGCTAGCTCCCACCTAAAGTGTATGAAGAGAAATACGTAACTCTATGCTTTTGCTGCAAGTTCATCATAAGTTTAATAACACTAATTACCGTATTCCAGGGTATTATTTTGCATATAGGTATCATTATTGCTTTCTAGAGTTACACTTTTAATGCAAAAGCATAAATAAAATAATATGAAACATTTATATAGATACAGAATTATTGCTACTCACATATAATGTGCATCCTTATTTTTCCCTTAAAAATTTGGGCAAAAACTCTGCATCATACATGGCAAAACAAGGCAAGTGGCTGGGCTGTGGGCTGAAGCCAGGAGGTCTGGCTGCAAAGCCTGTGCTACTAACACATGATGTTTTGCTGCTCACTCCAGCACCACCAACTCTAATTTCTCTCTGCTTTCTTTATTGTATTTATAGCCTTTCCACAATTCTTTATTATATCACTCACTACCTCTATCTCCAAATTAATTTCCTGGATTTTGGTGATGTTACCATGTGAATGAACCAATCTCAATGTTCATGACCTTTACCTAAAGAAAATAAGCTTTAAAAAAAGAGGCTGAGAAGTAATTTGTCACAAATCATGCTTACCTATGGAAAAGAGTAAGAAAACAAGTAAAGAAGAAAAGTCTTGGAGTAGGCCTACTTATCATAAAATCTTAAACAGGCACTTTAGTTACATACGGACTTTTTACAAAGGCAACTCCGGAAGTAACATTCAGGTCGCATGCTCAGGAGATACATTAACCAAGCCAATCTAATCAGTAATATGTGCCACCCATGTCAAATTCTAACTAAGAAATCTTACAACCAATAAATTATATAATTACACAATTATGACCATATAGGTACACCTAGCCTGTGTACACTGGTACAAAAAAAAGGTAAAGGTTAATCTGGGATTCTGACAATCAGGAGTATTTCTTGCTTTCTTACCTATTCTCTCTGTAATTCTAAACTGTCTACAATGATGATATACGACCTTTATATCAAAGGATAAAAAGAAAGTTTTCCCTATATCCAAAAGTTCTCAATTCTAAATAATCAAGTGTTTCTCAACATTGGGGCTCAGGTCAATACATTAAACAATAAACATCTAAGTAGACAGTTAAATATTATGTATACACATACATATAGAGAAAATACAGCAAAAATTAGAATAAGCTAAATTTCAAGAGAACGCTGGATAAAAATACTATAAAATCATTAAAAATAAACCATATCTATACAATAACATGGAAAAACAATAAAACACAACTCTATTAATAGTGACATTTAGAGAATATTTATAAAGAATTCCATTTTCTTAATTATTTCTATGATTTTTGAATTTTTATCACAAAATGTGAGCCTTTGTAATTATTTGTAAAAGCTGATTCTGGGCAAGCATGTGTGATGTGTGCACACTGGGGAGAGATAATGAAGTCAGGGTCCCATTCAGATCCCTTTCTTCAGTTTTAAGGAACCCTATGTAAACCCACCTAGAAAATCCAGGATAAAATTCCTACCTTAAAAGTCATCTGATGAACAACCAACCTTAATTGCATCTGCAACTGTAACTGCTCCTTACCAAACCTAACCCATTCACCAATTCTACAGATTAGGATGCGGCCACCTTGGAGCGGGGAATGAGGAGAGTCATTATTCTGCCTACTAGGGTTTCACAAAAGTATATGTACGTACAATTTTAAAAAAATAGCTACCTGATATATCTCAGAAGTTAAGTGTTAGATGGGAGTAAAGGATAATACAACTATTAAACTACATTAAAGTAAAAAACACATCAAAAGATAAAAATCTAACCTATCACACTTTTCCTTTTACTGGTCTTGTATCTAAGAAATCTTAGCCTAACCTAACCAAGATCATGAAGATTCTGTCCTATGCTCTCTTCTTGAAGTTTAATACTTTTAGGACTTTTATTTAGGTCTGCGTTCCATTTTTAGGGTTTTTGTTTCCCACATTGATGTCTTGATTATTCCAGCACCATTTGTTGAAGAGACTGGTAAAACCCACAATATGGGTTTTTATAAATCTCAAATGCACTATGCTGACAGAGGAATCCAGACACAGAGTTGCTTACACAGCCCATGATTCCCTTAAATGATGTGCTGGAAAAGGCACAAATGCAGGGATAGAAAGCAGATCAGTGTCTAGCAGAGACCTGGGAAAGGAACTACCTATAAGAGGGGCTTTTGAGGACGATGAAAATATTCTATGCCTCAACTACAGTTGTGGTCACATGACAACATACATATGTTAAAACTCAAAGACCTGCACAACTACAAAGGGTACATTTCCCTCTTATGTAAATTATTCTTCAATAAATCTGACTTAAAAAATTACCAAACAACAAGATAAAAAGGGATAATTTCTTTTGTAGGCTCCTAGACTTTCTGAACCCTAGAAATATGAATGTAGTTCAAGTTAAAAAGCAGCAAAGAACCTGAAAGATGGAAAACCAGACAGTCATCACTAGACTCTCCTGCTCTCCTGCCACTGCTCCCAAATAAAAAGGGAAGAGAGCAACAAAGAGTAAGCACCAAATAAGGACTTCTGCAACAGCCACAGGCTAACTTTCCAGGCAAGTGCTCTCACAACGAATCAAACAAATACAAAGCTAAGCCTAAAAAGAACTAATCAGTGAGATAATATTTACCTTTGGAGTCAGCATTTGGGAACAGCCTGTTCCATGGCACCTTATTTTTGTGTGGAAGAGAAAGCAAATAGTTTCTAGCTTTTAAATTTATTATACAATTCAGGTCTTCCTGTGATGGGGATCCAAGAATACCTATCAGATAAAGTAATTAGCTGTTAATTTTAAGACCAAGGCAACAATCAGCAGTAGGACAAAATGAACCCTGGTAATTAACATCTTCTGACCACCTCCCAATGCTTACATCGTTATCTTTCTTTTTAAATTTTTGCAAAAAGATCATTAACATTTTAAATCAGAGAAGGTTAAAACTCATGCCTACCACGGATAGGTAGGCATTAGAATTAGAGTTATTAGAATTCTTCTGAATTTAATGAAGTGACTTTGCATGTAAACCGAGCAAACCTCTCTCCTGCAGTGCTGGGGAACCTTACCCAGGATGTGGTTCAACTGGTCGAGGTAATGCTTCCCTGGAAAGATGGGCCTGTTGGAGAGCATTTCTGCCAGAATGCAGCCTACAGACCAAATATCGATGGACTTGGTATAGCCCTGGAAGAGAAAGGAAAAAAAGGCCAAGAATGAGATCTGGTGTTCCAGAACAGGAGGAGCTCTTCCTAGACGAGAGGCACATGGCTGATGGAGTTCCAGCTTCTCCTTTGAGTTCATAATTCAGAAATAAAAGTAGACAATGCAGAAAACAAAAGATGATTTGTCTTTCTTATGAGAGGCAGAACAACCAAGATTACCTGATTTCCTAAGTTGATTAACTTACTAAATTAGAATTATGAAGTATATATGTCAGTCTTTTTTTAAAAGGATTTAAGAGAAATATTAAGAAATCTTATAAGTAGAGCTATGAAAAGGAGAAAGTAGTAACACTCACTGCTATACGACATTTGTGGCCCATCTGCTCATTATTGAAAATATGAAAATCAACTCCAAAGAAGGAGTACTGCTATGCTTCCAGAAAGTCATTTTCTTTTAGGGGGAAGTAGGGTCTTCTTGTCGTCTAGGCAAGAGTGCAGTGGCATCATCATAGCTCACTGCAATCTGAAATTCTAGAGCTCAACCAATCTTCCCGCCTTAGCCTCCCAAGTAGCTGGAACTATTAGGCATGTGCCACTATGCCTGGCTAATTTAAAAAAATTGTTTTTTGTAGAAAGACTATGTCTTGCCATGTTGCTCAGGGCTACTCTCACCCTCTTGGGCTCATTCAAGGGATCCTTCTGCCTCAGCCTCCCAATGTTCTAGGATTACAGGTGTGAACCACTGTACCCAGTCCTAGAATATCTTTACACATTTTGCTAATCATATTTTAAAAAACTGGGTTGGAAATCCTTGATCTGGGGAGAGGGCAGTATGCACTGGTTCCACCATATTTTACCAATTTCTGCTTTATAATATTGTCATCTTTTCCTATTTATTTTTTAGGTATAACTTTTCTTTTAAAGGAATCCTGTTGAGGAAGTCAAAGAAGCATTCTGTCTGAATCATAACAACAGGGCAAGAAAGAAGTTTCTCCAAGGAAAGTAAGTTGGATTCTTTTTAGTAGTCCATTATAAGATTGAAATAAGCTGAATTCTATGGAAAATGTTAGGTATAGAATGGAAGAAGAAATGCAGAAATTCCTAGGAAAAAAGAAAGTTGGAGTCAAATATTAAAATTTAGGGAAACAGAATGAAATTGTTTTGAAAAATCCAACAAAGAACCAGTGATCAGATATACAGCCAAAATAAAATGGGGTTGAATTTACAGTAATTCTTTCTAAAACTCCTATAATCCAAAATAACTTTTGTTTTGAACCAAAGCTAAGAAAAAGGAAATACTGACTGCATACAAAAAATAGAGAAAGGGCTGCTCCAGGTCTGGGACAGGGAAAGTACTAGATAAACCTAAAGCATCTAGTGCCAGGAAGCAAGGAAGCACCCACCGCTGTGGGGAGATAGCAAGAGCTTCCACCTGCCAAATCTGGGACAATGTGAGCATCAATGAACATAATGGTAGGAATATATTATAAACCATTGGATAAATAAACAGAACTAAAATATCGAAGGAATGATAGAGGTACAAAATCATCAATGCATGAAGACCAGTGGGTGAAATTTGGTAAAGAAGATAACTTGCTGAATCTTAAACTATTAATTACAAAGGGGGAAATAATAACCTTATGGTGGACACTTGGAGACACCATCTTAACCAAAAGATTAACATGAATATCGGCTCGGC